CAGTTTCATTTATTTTATTTCTTTTTTTGGGAGGAAAGCATTGTCGGTAAGCACAGATGTCTAATATTATAAGAATGTTTATTTTTCATTTAGAAGAAAAATCCAGAAAATAAAATTTCTTGTCTTTATTTGATTTTATATTGCTTTACAGAAACTTTAGTCATGTTTATTAGGTTGTAGGTGAATACTAGTGAATGGTTGAAAATAGCTCTTCATTGTTCTCTGGTTTTCAAAGGATCTTATGTGTGATAAAAACCGCGTTTAATGTATTTGTTGGTTTCATTATTAAATGAAGTAATTTTAACTGAGTTTAAAATCCAGTATAGATCCGTTAGTTCTCTACTGATTACTAAAGTAGTAAAACTAATGTTATACATGTCTAGCCATTAGTTGTGTCTACATTATATCGATAGAGCTGGATTATGGCCAATTGCCTGAGTAATTCGGCACTTTGGAATAGTAGGTTTTAATGTCAAGTGGTTGGTATCTTTTGGGAGTAAGCCTTTGTTCTGAGTGATAGGTGGCAGTCATCAGTATATACCATCTATAATCTTGGAGGAATTACTATGTTCCTTGAGATTCAAATGTGTATTATCAAGTTTTACAGTTAGGAATAATTATATCTTTGACTGAAGTACTGATAGCGGATGTGGGAGAATGGCATGAATTCATTTTATTTCATGATTTCTCTTCAGCTACTCACAATCTGGCATTAGTAGTATTGATTATTTAAATAAAAAAACAATGTGCAGGTTTTATAACCTACTATCAGAAATCTACTCATCAATGGAAATTAGTAGAACAGTAATAAATATGAAAGAATATGAGAGACGTTTAGATGGTTTAATATTTATATGTAAGATAATATGAAATTTATAGAAGAAATTTTAAAAGCTAATAAAGACAGGTTAACGAATAACTGATACTAAAAGTTACTTAGTAACAACAATAATAAGGTTTGATTATAATATTAACATGATTGAGGCTTTGATGAAACTCAAGAAAGTATGAAGACAGTGAATTTATAATTATAAACGTAAAATGTTACACACTTACAATTTGAAAAGTGAGGTCATCAGGGTAATGTAGAAGTGACAAGAGTATCATGTTGAATGTATGAATCTGGTTCAAGTCTTCTGGAAGCAATGCTTTCAGGGAAAATTACTGAGTTCAAAGTTATTTGTTTATGAGTAATTTTTAAAATTTGAATTCACGTCCACTATCCATTACATTGCGACCTCTGTATTGAAGATATGTTAACCTCTTAGAGACAATTTCTGTTTATTGTACTCGGAGATGCAAGGATAACTATACTTTCCGGACAATTAGAAGCAACATAAGGAGAGTATTTGCTGACTTTTGAATGTTTTAAAGAACAATTTGTCTGATGTATTAGATATAACCAAATGACTATTTGTGACCCTGCCAAGTATCGATGAGCGACCTAAAGGTTCTGGGTTCTATTTATGCTTTAGCAGTATGTGTTAATCTCTGAAGAGTCATCTACTAGAATATGACATCAGTAAATGAGGTTTGTGAATTTTTCACTGACTTACAGTTAACAACATGATTTTGTGACCAGTTGATTTATTGTGGGCACCCATATCAATCATTATTGTAGTGAGCAGAACACGCGTTGGGACAATTGAATGTATTTAACACAAAATTACAGGACTTGTTAATAAAATCTAACAATCATAAAGTAAATGCTAAATTTGCAAAATGTCCATCGAATGTCTTAAAATGACTCAGACTTCATTGTCCTTGCATTTTCATACAAATTACATTTTGTTTCCATTCTTTACTGTTCGATCCTTTTGTCTGTCTGCTGTCAGACCTTCTGTTCACGACTAACATCATATACTACTTATGTCAATATAAGTAGCACACACCACATTATGACTTAACCTATTGGTTGACCCTTTATACAAGGCTCAGCAACAGCAAATGTTAAATATATCTTATTCAAAATAAATATAAACTCTCAAAGTAAAGCAAAAATTATGCAAATTTAAAATTAATTAGTCACCAGTTTCTATTTTCTTAGGATTGAGGTATTTGTAAATTACATTTTACTTATCAGATATATAAATAAATAGTTAGGCAAACAACATATAGATAACACGAATAATTCGAAAAATATTCTAACTTTTAAATAAATGAATAAGTAAAATTCACTTAGATGTATCCATTGGATTAATACTTTGTTTACTGAATAAACTTATTTATTTATGCACTCACCTGATCTCTTGCATGTGATCACCTGTACTTATAGGAATTATTAAACAGTATCATTATAAATAGAATTATGTGATATTTAGTATATTTACCATACGTGAAATCCAGGAGATGTGCTTCAACTTATTTAGGACTCATCAGTTGGTTGTAAGTGTATCTCAAGGTGAAAATTTACTCTGGAACTCAAGCCTAGCCACCAATACTGTGTTTCATTCCTAGGAAAAGAAAGCCATTTCTTGGCCAGTCACGTACCATTTAGTTGATTTCGCTTTGACATTTAATAAACAGAAAAAATAGAAAAAAATATTTTGGCGTGTATTACATTTCACATAATTTTTTATTGAACAAATATTGAAGGAAAGGAAATGGTAAGAGTCTAGTACAAGGACAAGCTTTAACAATTCATAAAGTAATCACAAGAACACTTATAATACATGAATAGTTTCGTAAAACGGAACAATAAGATTACAGGGAGTCTACATAAATAATGAGTTCGTTGAAATTTTGTACAAGTTCTTTTATCTTTAAATCAAAAATACAGCAACATATGAATTTTTCCATTCGGGTATTAAGCATTCATTTTATCGGACTATTATAAAGCTTCAAATAGTGTTTTTCGAAGTTCCCACATTATTCTTGATCATGATAAATGTTAGGATAAAGAGTTTATAATAAGAGTTGATTTGTTTGCCATACATAATCTACATTAATAACACTGGGCATTTACTATGCTTAACACTTATTTTTGCTCTATGATGACAGAAAAAGAAGAATAATTCATTTTATTATAATTTTTAAACATTTTGAGTACTGTATAAAGATATTTCTACTTCTAGTTTAATGTATGATGAAAATCTTTCATTTTCGAATTTTGCGCAAAGTCATTTCCTTGATTCTGATTGGCTCGTCATTTTAATTATACTTTTATTCGGTATATTTAATATATTTTAATATGTAAGATTGTATTTTTTTTTTTATCTCTTTATCAATTAATTTATTATTTTTTTGTATTTTTTTAAAAACTAAGATTCTTCATTTAACGACAGTTCTGTAAACCGACTGAAAAATTGATTAAAATAACCGAGTTTAAACTGAATGATAAAATGCTTTTATTGATTGTTACTGTGTTTCTTTTTGAATATTCATGTTTTTGACTTACTAAACAAACAAAGCTAACAGCAAACAACTACGGTCAAAAATGAGAGAAATATATATATATGATATTACTATTTATGATCAAAACAACAAAAAAAATAGCAGTGACTCACTATTCATGTACTACTTACTTGAACATATAAGAAAATATAGTTTTGAGTAATAATAATAATAAGTACAATTTAATTGTGAACACTTTGTATATTATCAATACAACGAACCTATATAAGTTGGACAACTATTGTAAATATGAAAGCAGTGAACGTTTATTTATTCCTCCTATGAGACTACTCAGCAATTCCCATCCAAGACCCTGTCACTAAGCACCTAACTCAGACTTTTGAGCCTACATTCATTCAGTTAATCTCCAATATTACGTGAATATCTACAATTTTCTTCAATTAGTACATTTACTAAACCCTGCATAGTTAAACTCCATTGGCCATGATTTCTCACTATGACACCGGAAACTCTCTCTCATAGTTATTCAGTAGTGGGCAACTGTATTCTATTGGTACGGTGGAGTTTGTGGAAGTCATTAAAATTCCCTAGTTTACATCATCGAATAAGCATAGTGAGACAGCCAAAATCCTGAATTTGATTCTCTGTTGTAGCACCGTAGATAAATATTGGTGGTCATCCGCATACTAAGAGGAAACAGCGGCCTAATGATTCTTGATTTTTAATGTTTGCCTCGATTAGATTGGTTTGTGGTCTTAATAAAGTTCAACGACCCTTACAACCCTCATGCTGATACATACGTAAGATTCACGTAAAAGTCCCTTTTATACATTAATTATTATCTTTCAGTTTCAGGATTTTACTAATGAAGTGATGTAGATGTTAGTTTGTGATTCAACACTGAAATCATGAAAATTTTCACAAAATCACATATATATAAAATTTACTAGTTGATTATTAAGTGACAAGCTTTAAGAGAAATTTTCCCCATTTTCTACTCAAAAATTTTGATTCATGAAACATTAACCAAGTCAGAGCAGGAACAATAAATCATGTTACATTACAGTTTAATTGAACCTCGAAATTTTAAACCATTGGTTTTTTACTCAAAGGACCAAAATACTATATAACTGAGTAATCTGAATATCTTGAGGTGGATCCTGTGTGTGAAATCATGGTCATGGATATTACTGTGGAGTTTATAAATAGGACAAATTAGTAACCTAATGTTTAATATCCTTCCGAAGATTCGTTAGCTGATGCCACTTTGTCATGATAAATAAAATTTAGAAAAAAATGTTGAGGGTAAAATATAAATATGGCCTCATATTCAAGCTTATCTTGTTATTATTCAGTAGATCGTAAATTTTGTCTGTTTCAGTTAAAAGTGAATACAGAAAACACAATCTATTTTATCGAGATATATGTGTATCCACCATCAAAACAAACATAATTGAATATAGTATAGTTTGTAAACTGTAAGTCCTTATCTAGAATTGAAATGTACGTAAGTGCATGGTTGACGTATCCTATTAGCCTATCTAAAACATTTACAAGTAATAAATAAATCTTTAAACTGATAAATATTTTTGATTAACTTCCAGCTCTACTACTGTTTTCTATATAAATAACATTTATTGCTGAAAATGATATTTCTATTGTGTTTAATAACTTATGTGAATTTCATTACATCGAATCCAACGTCACAATCAGGTTAGTTTTGTTTTCTTCAAATGGTTTATGTTTAAAAACAAAAGAAGATTGCCGTGAATTTTCATTATCATTGATATAAAAATTACCTTCGTCTCATGGATTATGTTCATTGTATATAATAAGGATTATTGAGTGGTTTGATATTAGGACGAAATAGCAGTCCAATGTTTCCTGGTGAAAATTCAAAAGTTTCTGCAAATTCACTGTACTAAGACCAAATTACTAAAGTTTCAATTCATTGATCATGTTTATCTGGTGTTCATAGATTTGTATTGATCACCACTAATGAATTGATAGATGTTATATTAGTCATTACTCAGTGATCAACTGGCTGCAAAGATTGCAGACCTACTGGAGATAATCTGCAACAAGAAAAGCTTAATGGTAAAGTTTCAGACTATGGAGGAGGGTAATGTGTTAAAATCCCACAGAGAGTATTGATTCTCTCAAGATTACAGGTACTCCATACTAGTGAGTCCCAAGTAGCACGAAAACTAGGTTGATTATCGTTACTTAACAGATACACCCAATCACCTGTTCTATTTCCAGTTAATGGCTAGCAGCAGTAGAATCCAGTAGGTGCTCTTCGTCCTATTTAAAATATTCCAGTTACATGCACCTGAATATTAGTGTTGATGTATTTAAACTAGAACTCGAACTTAAAACTTAAGGCTTCACGTTTTATCGCATTATCCATTATGTTGTTAAACATAGATAAATGCCAACTTGTGCAGTGGATATGTATATAAACAGTAGACAACAATAATAAAAAAATAATAACTAATTTCATTATTTCAATTAAATAGTAGAAGTAAAAATTTTGAACAGTTTAGAAATTTAAAGTGAATTTTAAAATTATATTTGGAATCAATGGCTCACCAGTGAAATCCAGTTATCTAGAGATATTGTCAGAAATTCCTGGAATGAATAAAACCATGCTTAAAATGAAAATAATTTTTAAACAGTACTCAGAAGACTATTTAAGGAATTGGTTAATAAAAAGTAGAACATTAATAATAAAACAGAGATGGATAGTGACTAGTAGTGGAATCCCGGTGTGAACATCAACTCTCAGATGCAGGCAAATCCGGCTGACGAGTCCCAAATAGGAAGAAACACGCGTCCTGGATTCCACTGCTAGCCACCATTCATCTTTGCTTATAATGCTTGTGGCTTAAAGTAATATCGAGTCAATCCGCACAGGATGCACATATATCAATAAGAGACTGATCAATTGACGTACAAAACATCAATGACAAGATTCAGGCCAACAATTTGAAAATGAAATTAATAATAAAATATAAATAGTCAGTAATTATGTAAACCATACACACAAGATTTCAGTTGCACTTTAGACGAGTTACTTTCTTTCATATCTGTTGAGAATAATCAAATAATGATATGATGAGGTAAGGAATATGACTAAGAGTTAGATATTTATTCTAGTGTAGAGTGAATAATCTATAGTTGTCATATCCTTCAATTGTTTGTTTGTTAATTGAATCTTAATCATGTTATTTTGTTAAAAGGATAAAACTTATGTCTTGCCCCTGTGATATCGGTTCACTTAGGTGTTTGTTTCCGTAATCCGATCAAGTGAACGTTTACCAATGGATCACATTTCATCCAATAATTTATTAACTTTAAACTTTTTTGATTTATATTCATAAAAGCTTGTTGAAACTAAGTCAGATAACCGATAACAGTGATGTAAAAGAAGTGAATTTTTAACAAAGACTGCTTTAAATATCAGAGGGGATGAATCGATAATGTCGGGGAAATTTTCAAATCTCCCAGTGTTGACAAACTATTCGTATTGTGCATCATGTGATGATAAAACGAGATAAGATTCCGTATCCGATGTCAGTCGTCTGAAAATGGTAAACATTTATGCTTGATATTACAACTTTGAAGTTTAAACACGAGAAAACAGATTTGCATGACTCAAGGAAGTCAGTCAGTAACAACATAGAACTTCGTACGTACATACATCAGTTTGGGTTGCCATACCACATTAGCACAGAGATAAAATTGTCAATTCAAATCTCATAGTGGTAGAGGTAGTAAAAGTATAAGCAGTGATCGGAAAGATCAAGGTTTGAAGATATTATCCAAGGAGTATAACCCAGTGAAATAAATTTGGAAAGAGAAAAAATAGGGGAAATGAAGAATTCATAAGATTAGAATTTGGGAGAACACAGAGAGTGGATGCACCTGCGCCATTGCAAACAATTTTGAGCTATGTTATTCAAGGTCTCTAACCATCGGTTGCTATCGTCTCGCGGATCCCAACCGGGTAGTTTATACCTACCAACATGGCTCAGTCCACTTGTCAGTGACTTCATGAATTTGTACCATGTTTTGGTCTGGCTGCCCCTAGCTTTCTTCCAACCTACTCCTACACCATAAAACATCGCACGTCGGGGAAGTCGGTGGTTGGGTATACTTAACACATGCCCCAGCCATCTCAACTGATGAGGTTTCACTACTTCGTCAATTGATTTGCCATCCTTACCTAGTACCCGTCTCCAAACAACTGCATTACTTACTCGATGGTCCCAGCATATATGAGCAATATTTCGAAGACATCTATGATCAATTACTAGTAACCTACGAATATCCTCTACTCTTACCAGTCATGTTTCATAGCCATAAAGTAGGATGGTACGAACTGTTGCGCAGTAAACCCGTCCTTTGGTAGGTAGACGGATATCTCACCTACTCCATAAATGACGCATCTTGGCAAAATCTAGTCGAGCCTTTTCTATCCGTGCTGAGATTTCGTCTCACGCCAGACCATAAGGGCTGATGAGACTCCCAAGAAGTGAATAAACACTGACGATAGTCAAAGATTTTATTCACTGCAATCATTCATTAATTAAATACATTCATTTATATAGCGATTTTAATGGCATTTAACGATTAACTGAAAATAATTGGAACAAAACAAACGTCTAGACTAAAATTACGCAAATTAATGTTGTAATGAAAAATTAATCGGACTGAATTAATATAAACGAATGTTAAATGTTATACTGAAAGAGTATCACATTAATTGAATACAAAAGAATACTATATTGATTAAATATACCGGTGAAATAAATCATAATATTACATTTTATTCCCTTCTAACATTTGATTACGATTCCCAATATAAATTTAGTCTTTAAAGTGAAATTCATCAAATCTACATTGTTTCTAAACATAAATAAATTTGAAATAGTTCAAAACTGAATTTATTGTCACGTTGGATGACTTAAACTGAACATTGAAAAAAAATAAAACTGACATTCATTTTAAAGAAAATGAATAAAAATTCTTGGATTTATATTACTTATTTACGCCTATTAGCTCGTAGAGGAGCATAGACTGTCCGCCAGCATTCTCCATCAAAATCTGTCCTGCACAATCGTTTTCAGTTGTTTCCAGTTTCAGTTTGTATTTTCTGAGATATGATAGTCAATGTAAGACTGTTTGATAAATGTTGAGTTCTATGAACTTCTCTCACTGTTTTATAAACGATGATTGTCGATAGTATAAAGTTGGACTCTTTGAGAAGCTTATTCTTTTATATACAATAACTGACAGATAAAATTCTATTTTAGTATCAGGAATATGTATAACTTAATTTCATTTTCTAAAGATCTATCCGTTTATTATTTTCTTACATTTAATATTGAAAATTAAATTCCTCAATGAAATATCACAGATTACCTTCTACAAGAAGAAGCTAATACAACAATCTCAGATTTGAACGAAGATTTGACTGGGGAGTTTACAGTTACTGAAATGTCTGAACCCATCATAAAATCTGACCATGATGCTTCATCGGTTGAAGAAGTTACTTCAAATGAACCGGACGAAACAACCACTGAATCTGTTGAACCTATGTTCGACAATGATCAACACAACGGTGATAACCATCAATCATCTGAACATCATAATGATAACCAAGAAAATCATGAGGACGACCACGAACACGACCATAAACATGAACATGAGCATGATCACGAACATTATCATGAACACAAAAATGACTACAACAAGGCAGACATACATAAAAGAACCAGAGGTAAACATTCTGACTCAACTAATCCAAAAAAAGTCAATAAATTATAATAACGTGGATAATAATCGCGATAATGTGAGTACAAATAAAAGAAATAATTAAGTTTCTATGTGTGTATGTGTGTGTGTATGCATTGACTTTACACCTCCTTACACCACCCTACCACACGCTACCCCACCCTCTATAACTATATTGTCTTTCTGTATTGTTTTACAAAATATAAAAAAGTTTTATTTCATTTGAATTCATAAAATTTATTGTTAATTATTTAATCGTGAAATTATTTATTGAAATTGATATTCCAATTTTTCATTTTACTATTTAATTCATAATTTAAATAATTAATTATAATTTTTTTTTCTTCATATCGAATATTTGATCATTATCATTTTATCAATGTGTCAAATTATATTGTCACCAATTTTTTTTGTGTTTTTTTTTGTTGTTGAAAATGTACACTTTCATAATGTTGTTTACATTAACTTTGAGATTTAATTTCTAATAGTTAGTTAGTTATAATTGTTTCTAAGTGAATAAATCACTTTTTTTTTAAAAAAAAGCTTTAATCTATTTATTTACGATATGATTGTCAAAAGATAAGAGATGGTACCGAAAATTATAGAGAACTGGCAGGTTATTTATCTTAATTGATTAGTTAAGTGGTTATAAATTGAAGCTGAGAAATATAAACCATTGGTTTAATTATATCAATTTTATCCCAAGACTTTAAAGTTTCAAATTTGGTCTATATGTTTGATTGTAAGTTGACACTGTTGTTAAGTCGGATATTTAACTAGAATAAAGCAGCAGTTGTTTAATACATTATGCATTTTGATGGTTTACTGTATCATGATATTATAACCATAAAACACTGGTACATAAGAAAATATTGAAATTAATACTATTCAAGAATGAAGATAAAACTGATAGAAAATGATGAGTTTATTCACTTTCCAAAGATAATTATAATAACTCAGATGAAGTACAGTCATTTGTATATCGATTTTACTAATACTGATAAATAATTAGTGAATATTATATATGACCGAAATAAGAAAAATACGGAAATAGATTTAACACAGAACTACTACAGAATGTGTGCGGCGTATTATGTTATACTCTTAAGTACTGATTTATAAAAGAACTTGCTTTAAATATTATCTATGTTGATATGACTAATAAATTTCATGAAAATCTATTTGGTCCTCATTTTATGGTCTACAAGGTATTTACACATTTCACAAGGTATGTGGATTCAGCCTAGTTGTATAATACGATGAAAATATTATATTGGTATGTTAGTTTTTGATGCAAAGGCTATAAAGCTGAGAATAAGTTTTTATTACACAGTTGAGAATGATTGTGAAAATCAGGAAATATTCAACAATTTTCTGCGAAATGTGAAGGTTTTGGGTTTGATTAAGTCGAAGAGGGAAGTGGTGCTGCAGATCGAGATTAATAAAGAGTATAGAACAAAGACAATGTTGATATTAGAAAATGACATAAACGTTTGAAGTTAAGACGTAAAAGTCAACCGATCGAAATTAGCTCTTATTTTAAGCACATCTGCTTAAATAAAATTGGATGATCGTCATTGACTAATGGAACAACATGAACTTAAATTAAACGATGGTAAGTGTATAGATACCATAGGTGTTTGGTTTAAAAAATAGATAGTTTTATAGGCATTAATGCTATGAGAATGATCTTCAGTGGTAATAATTTGATTTGATATGTATTTGGTAATCCGCATAGCAGTAAAATGAAGTTTTCTGAGGACTATAATTCAGAAGTGTTAATTGGAACACAGTATAAATAAAGAATATTCTTTTTAAAAGGTTTTTCATCAGATCCTACAGTTATAAAGAGAAATTTATGCATCAATTCTGTTGTCAAGTAATAAGAAAAATACATCTTTAAGAAATTATAACTTAATTTGAGGAGTTTTGGTACGGTAGGATTAAGATATTAATTAATCTTTTTCTTGGTTGTTTGAGTCTATCCATTGATGTTTAGGACTGTAAATGATCAGTCTCTTATTGGCAGATGTGCATCTTATGTGGAGTCTTGGAGTGAATGGACTGGAATGCAGGGATGTCCAGCTAATGAGTTCTGAGTAGGACGAAACACGCGTACTGGATTTCGCTACTAGCATCATCCATCTTTGCTTTTAAAATTCCTAATGTTGAAGTGACTAATATGTAATGTTTAGAATGCCATTTGAAATTGTGCAATTAATAATCTGAATGAAATGTAGATAACATTGAGTAAATGTTTTAACGAACATTATATAACATATGAAATTATATGAATTAATTAATAAGTAGTAAAGCTGAATAAGTACTAATTATATTCTCCATATTACTAAATGATGAATAATAAAAATGAAATTATTTGTGAATAATAATGATAATAATATTTCAATAAGATAATTTAGAATTATGATGATACAAAGAGGAAGACTGTATATACATTGAGGAAATTATATCATCTTACAAATAAAATCACTATTGACTTTTTGTGCCTGAGGTTGGTCGGAGTGTATGGACTCGTTGGACATATTTATTTTGTATGCAAATTTCCGGGATGCTAATCGAAGTAATTATTACTCTTATCTTCATCAATCTCAAGCCTAAACATTTTATGATCATCTCGAAATCGGATATCAGAAATAAAGAACGACTGGGAAATGATTAATTGTTATATTACACTTATATTTGTGATCACCATGATCAACATTTAGGTTTGATTCAATTTTGCAAGTAAGAAATTTAGGTGGAGTATTGTCCTCTGAACTGGATGGTTTGGTTTACTCCTACTTGATGCTTGTACTGATGATGTTTAGATGAACAATGAAAGCTCCAAAACCAAAAAATCCAGCTCAGAAAACGAAACTTCACCTAAATCATCCACCTGAGCATCAAATCTTCTCCACTATTGTAAAATCATATTAAGTAAGTAAATTAGTTTGCTCCGAAGAGCATCTCATATCAAGAGATGTTGATAAGTTGAAATACATTAGTTTAGATTAGACAAACATCTGTTTTAATAGTAGTCATGTTGAGTTATATGTGAAGATTTGGGTAGTTGATGTTAGAAATGAACACGTAATTCATGGATGTTGAAATCAAAATGGATTTCATTTCATTCTAATCTAATATGTACAACAATTTATTGGCAACTCAACTCGAATGGCTATTCAATGTCAAATAATACAGAAAAATTGAAGTTCAGGTGACTGGTTTCAGTGATAAAATCTGTGAAGCAAATGTTGTTCGGAATAACAACGAAATGTTTGCAATTAAATTATGTAGCTCAGAAAATTTGACAATGCTAAAATGATGAGTTGTGGCACTTCAGAGAGGAGTCTTTTGCTTGAGTCCTATCAGGAGAATAAACCAGAAAATAATAATCAAATTAGATGATGAATTAGTTTCTACTGTAGCTTTAAATGTGGTGAAAATTTCGCACTCCTAATTTCACTCATATGTAGATATATAGGGAGAGAGATTCAGCTTTTCTCATGTAATGTAAATGAATATAGAATAAGTGTAGATATGTATTATAAACCATGTAAATAAATAAACCTAATCGATGCTCGATAGTGTTGTATACGTTAATACGGAGAGACAATCAAACATTCTCAAATCGGATGTAGTGAAGTGACAAAGAGTTCTCGTCATGAACTGATATAATTTTTGAGAAACTTTAGAAATCTAGGAGTATCTAACACCTAATTAGTTCCATTTTGTAATTCTTCAACAGTGGACACTCACAAATGAAAACTGGAGTGGACGCAGAACTTTCAAATCTCGAGAGCACCTCTTGAATTTCAATCGGTTCATCACAATAACAAGGTTATGATCTCTTTGTTTATTGGTCTGTTCTATAGTACCTAAGAAATTAAATTCTAATTGACATGAACTCGTTCGACGTATATTAATATATCTAACAATGAAAATGGATGGTTTTTGATAAGACGAAAAGCAATGTAAATAGAAGGTTTCTAGAAGGAGCTTTCAATATCAATAAATATACTGAAGATTACTGTGATTACTAAGATAATGACATCGATGATTCTCGATGAATAAACACTGTATCTGACAAAGTTCATTTTATTTGATAAATATTGAGATGTAAATACATATAATAGTTCTTATAAAGTTTATAGTAATTTCAAAGCTCTTTTCCATCTTATTAACAGTAAAGAAACTTCTCCGATAAAATAAACCTAACTCAATCTGGATACGTTTATTTTTGAATTCTTTATAAATCCATAACTAGTTTTAAAGACGATTTTTCATCGTCTTTTCTTTATAACAGATTCAGTGAAAAGTTAACTAAATGAAGTTATACTATCATGATATATGAATCATGAACATAGAAATAATGATTTATTTTAAGATATTATGATATCCGGAAGTATTCGAATTATGGTATGAACTAGGAATCCCAGCAATAACGTAATCAGATCAAGAAGTACTAGATAACCACAAACGAATGTACTGTATTTAGAATTCGAAATCAAGCATTCAATATGCACAAAGGTATCATTATTTCATTCAAACACCACAGATATGTAAGCCAACAAGACACATTATTATTTAATGAAGATAAAGTGATTTGTCACTAATCATAATTCGTATACAATAAATAAGAACGAAAATGCACAGTTTTTTGTTTTGTAGAAAAACAAATTGTGCAAGTAGGAGTTAGGACTTACTATGTTTTTACTTTCACACTACCTTATCTCTATTTTACGATGGGTAATAGTGAATTGTTTTTAAGCACGATTAACATCCTATATTTAATATATCAACGTATTTTATTTTATAAGGCTTCTT